TAGATAGATAGATAGATAGATAGATAGATAGAAAGATAGATAGATAGATAGATAGATAGATAGATAGATAGATAGATAGATAGATAGATAATAGACTTATTTTTATCTAGATGCTGTCAATTCTTGTCTTCTTCAGTATAAAATATGTACTTGTAAACTTGCCACTCAGACAGATGGAGGTTTTCCTCGGTCTAGGCCTCTGTATTTCCTCAAACTCATCCTTCTACCCATACTTCTCAGATCAGTCTTTTATTCTCCCAACCTTCCAGAATATAAACTGGGAGAAGATGACTTGCGTTACCATGCTTTGGTTAACAGTTCCAATACCCAATCATTTCACAAGTAACAATCTGATGGGTGACATTTTTGGAATTTTAGCCCAATTTTAGCAAGTGGAATGGGTAACAACAATTATAAATGTCATGATATTTAATAGAAACAAAAGCAATATTCTTTACTTTGTGTGCCTTCAAGACAGTTCTGAACTTCTGCAGACTATTTGGTCAAGTCCCTGCAGTTGTCTTGGCAATATTGTCAGACGTGGTTTGTCCTTGTCAACTTCTTCCCAGGGCTGAGAGAGAGGCTTTGTGTCTAAGGCAGAACTAGAACTCACATTTTCCTGGTTTTTACCCTGGTGCCTTTAACCACTACACCAGACTGAGTATCTTATTTCACTTAGAAAAAAAAAAATCAAATAGTTGAGAATGGGGGATATCTGGTTTACTAAACATTCTTGTGAAAAACATAGAATAGTATCTGATATAGTAGAATATGAGGTGGCAGTGTGATGCAGCTACAAGAAAGTCAAATGCAATTTTAGGTCGCAGATGTACTGTATAATGCCCAAATCATGAGAAATAATAACTTCATGTATTCTGCATTGTTACAATTCCATCTCAAAGACTCTGTCCACGTCTGGACAGCGCACCTTTTCACAGAGAATGGAACAGGTTCAGAGAAGAGCACAAATACAATTAGGGGACCTAAGTCCTATGGAGAGAGATTGAAAGAACTAAGTAGGTTATCCCTTGAGAAAATGTGCCTGGGCAGGGGAGATATTGCAGCATTCTTCAGATATGTGAAAGGAAACAGATCATTTTTCAACAGATATGTAAAAAAGATTAATGCCTGTTGTCTCTCACTACAGAGCACAAGTCACAAAATAATGGATTAAATTACAGGAAGGCAAATTCTCATTAATGTTATATATATAAAAAAAAGTCTTGACAGTAAGAGCAGTTTGACAGTACAACTGATTACCAGAAGGGTGGTGGGCTCCCCAACCCTGGATATGTACAAGTGGAAGCTGGCAACTATCCATCTAAGATGCTTTAATTTGGATTTCTTATATACAATACAGTATATACATGTGTGTATGTGTGTGTGTATGTATGTATGTATGTGTGTTTGTGTGTGTGTGTGTGTAGTAAATTCTAATACAAACGAAACTTAGAGAAAGAAAAGAGAATAGAAAGAGTAAAAAGTGCAAGGAAAAAAAAGAAAAATAAGAGTAAGAATATAATAAAGATAGATAGATAGATAGATAGATAGATAGATAGATAGATAGATATAGAAGTGACTTCCAATCTTCATCACAACAAGTATAAACAAATTTGGTAACTCTTTAACCCCTCTAGAGTTACAAATATTTATCTCTTCATCCTACATCCCATCTCTTATCAATAAACAAATCCATAAACCATCATCTTTTCAGTCCTGCTGTCAGCAGAAAGTCCATAATGGGTTGCCAAAAGTAACAACCTATCTTGATCAAATAAACCAACATTATATTCCTTCCTTTTACTACTAACAATCTTAATCTTTAGTTTATTCAAATATTGTCATAGGATTTGATTTCTCTTCATTTCTTCTTTGTCCCATTGCACAGAATTCTTCAAGGCTTTAATAAGCTTCTTTTATAAATCCAGTAGGAAAAAATTATCCAGGTCATTCTCTTGGTTTGTCATTTGTCTTTTAAATTTTAAAACCCCAGCTAATTTATTTTGTAGATCCAGTGAAACACCCTTTTCTAAATCATTCTCTTGGCCTGTCAGTTGTACATTCACTTTCAAAATAATCTCTATCTTGTCAGATAAAATTTGTTCTACATCTGATATTTCTGCAAGCTTTAATTTGGATTTCTGCATTGAGCAGAGGATTAGACTCAATGACCCAGATTACTCCTTCCACACTGTAGGATTCTGTGACCATAATTATTGATATTTAAATCATAAATTATCATTATAATATTCAGTAGGATTATCTTAATAGTTTAAGTGTGAATTGAACTGAATTCCCAAGAGCTTGCAATGTGGAGGAATGTGTCCAGGGATTACCAAAAAAAAAAAAAAAAAGTTTGAGGCTGAATGCCCACCCAAAATATAAGCATTCAGTGATGTATGGGTATTTTATAGGACTGCAGCTTTAAACATATTTAGCAACAGTATATATAAGCATTTTTTTCTTGAATGCTAGAGAGGAAAACTCATGATGGATGAGCAATAGATCCCAGAAGAACAAATTCAAATTTTAATCTTGCTTAATTTCAGACTCCCTCTATCAGAAGGTTGAACAGAAAGGGCAATTGGCTACTCAGATATTGACTTTCCCCTTTAATTATAAGATTGGGAGGGGCTTTAAGAACATCTACTCATGTTGCTTTGTCTAGTGAACCTCTACTCACATCCAGCAACCAGAGGCATTCTTGTGGGGTGTGGTCATGGTGGTGGTGGTATCAATTTAACATGTTTTAAAGTGACAGGGCTTTGATTATGCAGTCCTAGCTGCCATCTTGACTTTTTTAACTTCCCAGATACCCCTGCTCAGACTGGACTGGGATTAAGGTTTTGCCCATTAGTTCTCTGCTAATTTTATGTCTCTGTTAATATCAATCCAAGATTGTTAATGATTTGATGAAATGTGCAGCAGAAATCTGCTTTGAAGGGCTGGGAAATACTCAGAAACTGATGAAGATGGGGCATGTCATGGCTACATCAAAGCTGAAGAGAAAGAAAGTCCCATAGTGTGAGTGGAGTTTGCTTGTGTAACATTAAGTACAGCCTCCTATTTTACAATAGGATTGGATGAAGGAATCATCCTTCAATGCAAATTACATTTTGGTCTGGTATTTGCTTCATAGATCCCAAAGGCAAGAATATATTTAATTACTTTTTCTCAATGCTACCCTCAAAAACTCAAGATTAACAAGGACTGCTTATTTTACATCCTCTCATCTTTGTTTTGCATGGTCTTTTGATACGCTTTCCTTGACACCAAAATCTAAGTTCCTTTTGGAAATCTAATGCCAGAAAAATTCATGCTTTAGTTTAGATCTACTTCAGACTAAATGTGCACAAAGGTATCTCCCTATTGCCCTTTCTCACTATTAGGAAGGGATTTTGCAAGCTATTTGGGACTAACAATTACTGCAAATTGCAGGTTAAATTATTTTTATAGTCCACTAAAAAAGAATCAGGACACATTGTAATCACAAAAAGAGAAAGACTGGAGAAACAGTAATGAAAGTATAATTCAAAGTACCTGCTAATTCCCTAGTGTTTTGTAGTATATTAATATGCACTGCCAAATCCTCAATTTGTGTCTCTGGATTGAAGCAGAATAGTGAAAAGTACATATCTATGGAAATCATGAAACATCAAATTGATCCCTGGCAGGAAATAAACATTGTTAATGAGATTTTCCTCATGGTTGTGGGAAATCTATGCTCCTTAGCCAACCAGATTTGGTACAACCACCTTTCCATTTCCCTCTATCTTTCCATCTATGTTTAATCTACAATCATTGCATCTGTACAAGAGGTAAACTCATTAGCCACCTGCTAATTTACTTCTGAGCACTTAAAACTAGGAAATGAAAAGCTGCCATTTACTTTCATCTCAAAAGGATTAAGCAAATAAAGGTAAGAATGCAACAAATAAAAATGTTTTCCCAATCCAGTGCAGTTGTCCTGAAAAAGCTCAGCACACCATCCACTCCCAGAGCAGCAAAAGAGAGTTATCTAATGTCAGAAATACTCTTCTCCTGGGTCAAAGCATTGGTCCAGTCCAGATCATTGTTTGCATCAGCTAGGACTGATTGTGTTGGCTACCCAGATGGTAGCTACCAATAGATTAAAATTTACAAATCATTCCCCCAAAGATAAGGCTGGTCCCTACCTTGATGGCCTTCCAGAAGGGCCTAAAGACTTGGCTTTGCCATCTGGCCTGGGGATCAGAGAATGATATGGAGCCCATAAAATGGCTATACTGTTCTTGAATGACTGTGCTGTCCTGGTGACTGTACTGTATGTTTTTTAATTCTTTTTAATGTTTGCATTGTTTGTATGGTTGGTTGATTGACTGATTGATTGATTGATTGATTTTGGCATTGTTTAGGTTTTTAATTGTAAATAACTCAGAGTCACAAATGTGAGATGGATGGCTATATAAATTGAATGAATGAATGAATGAATGAATAAACAAACAAATAAATAAATAAATGTCAAGAGCTCATACTAGGGAAAGTCTATA